CACACACACACACACACACACACACACACACACACACACACACACACACACACACACAGAGATCCATTTCCTGTTGGGTGTCGTCTTCGGGGGGGGGAGCGTTAGAACAAACCGAGTCGGCGTTTTCTCGTGTTTCTGCACTTTAACGCTCAGAAGAGCCGATCCAATCGTTGCTCGGCCTCCGAGGCCTCGGTTCTGACCCGACCCGAACGCTGCAGTCTCCCCTCACGTCTCGGTGCAGACGGAGGCAGCAGCTCCACCTAGTTTCACCACTCGTACAATGAGTTCCCTTTGTTAATACTAACAGTTAAATCCRTTTAAATCTTTAAAATTAAGGATTTCCTAAAGAGTCACTCAGGATATCTGAMCAACTCTCAGCGACTACCACCCAAACTTTAAAGTGCCTGTAGCGTGTATATCCTTCAAATAAAACAACTTTATATCTAAGAAACTTGGCATAGGACATGATTTTACTCATTTTGTCACATAAATCGCATTTTTCTTTTGAACTTGGCTCGGCTAAAGTGAAACAGGAAGTGACATCAAAGGGGAACTCTTTAAGAAAGACTACTCTGGTCTTTACTGAAGCAATATTTAAACTTTAACTCTTTTTCATCTCTTAAGCTGCATTTCCATTGACCATGAAAATGCGCAAATTAGAATTTCGAAAATAAATTTGCTCAATGGAAACACGTCAATTTCGAAAAAAGTTACGTTTTTCGACAAAATGTTTTTGCGCTAGGATGAGGTGGTTTTTCAGCCGTATCGAAATTGGTGTTTTTTGCAAAACTGCAATGGAAACACTTTTTTCGCATCACGGGAGTCACGTGATCAAGAACCGGCTGTTTCTACTGGTGAAAAAAGATAACGAAGAAGAAGAAAACAGGAAGTAGTATCAATAGCATTTCTTACTTAATGGAAACACCGCAATTACGAAAAAAGCTACGTTTTTCGACAAAATGTTTTTGCGCTAGGATGAGGTGGTTTTTCGGCCGTATCAAAATTGGTGTTTTTCGCAAAACTGCAATGGAAACACTTTTTTTGCATCACGGGAGTCACGTGATCAACAACTGGCTGTTTCTACTGGTGAAAAAGATGACGACGAAGAAGATAACAGGAAGTAGAAGTAGTAGTGATATCACAGAATACATTAAAAGTCTCATTTCACCTTACAACCCCGGATGGGACCTCCGCTCACAGGATCAACATCTCCTTATGGTTCCCCTCACTCGCTTTAAGACCCGTGGCGACCGGTCCTTCTTCTCTGTGGCCCCCAGACTCCAGAATGAACTGCCTTTTAATCTACGCTCCCTTGATAACATTGGGCCTCATGCAAGAACCGTTCGTACGCACAGATTTGTTCTTAAGTTGTGCGTACGAGTGATTTAGGAGAATTTGTGACATTCACCAATGTTTTCATATTCTAAGATTTTTTTCAGATACGAACAAAATTCAGGAGTGGTCCAGACCTGTCGTATATTTTACCAGCAGTCAGTCTGCTGTTATCCAGACGGGTTTTCTTCACTAATAATGGTGCGTTCACACCAAACGCGATTTCAGCGTCAGGAGCAGCAGGTTTACATGCAAAGTCTATGGT